GGGTGTGGGGGTCTGAGGCTATGCCCGTTGCGTGCAGACACGTTTTTGTCTTGCCTGCTGAAAACTGCACTACGTAAGAACTGCATCTTACTGTGATGAGAAATCATCAGGAGTTTTTTGGAGACTAGAAGTGAAGAAAGGCAAGCGAACAGGCCTCCAATACAGCAAAAACTGCAGCAGAGAGGCAGGGAACGAGTTGTAGCCCCTGTCCCTAGGGATGCAATGAGATGGTGTGGGCTTTAATTACAGCCAGGGAGATTTTGGCTGGCCGTCAGGGAAAACACCATGATGGGAAGGACAGGGAAGTGCAGGAATGGATTGCCTGAGGAAAGCAGAGGCTCCTTCATTGGAGGCCTTTAAGAAAGGGGTAGACAAGCACCTGTCAGGAAGGCTTTAGACAGAGTTGATCCTGCCCTGAGGCAGGAGCTGGCTGGCTTGACCTCCTGAGGCCCCTTCCAGCACTGTTTTTTATTATCTCTACTGAAAACAACCCCCTACCTTGACCCTTGGTATGCTCTGTCTTGAACCTTCTTTCTGGCAGGGAAAGGAGACACACAAGACAGTATTTTTTAAAGTAAAGCCAGGATTTGCACATGTCGTTTGATGATGTCTTTTAAAACCGTTGGAGTCACCCCAATGTTTCTGTTTAAAACCTCAATAACTTCCAATGTTAGGGTGCATGCAGTCTATAATCTTTATTGTGCTAAACTAGTCTCTTTCTTTCTGAAGCTCTCTGCAAAGGAGGCAACAGACATCACAAGCAGTGCATTGGAAGAGACCATCTATTGACTACAGTCCTGAAATCACGGGCTGACAAGTTACGGAGGTTAGATCCTAACTGGGCATAGGCTCTGCATTTTGCATACTCCAAAAAATCACCAAGAGCATTTTTTAACAAGCTTAAGACCTTGACATCCAAAGGGTAATGCCATGCAAATCGTAGTTGTTTCATGAAAAGGGAATAGATGAGATCACAGACCCAGGACCTGGGTACCAACAGCTAGGTCAGGTAGTGTTTGTACCCGAGTTAACATCAAAAAGTGCAGATGTTATAATTCTGAATCCCACAGATAGATCACTTTTAACCTCTTTTAGTCCCAAACCTGGCAAGCCTGTATTGAATGGTCTTCACTGGATGATTCTTAAGACGTTAAGAATACTTGCAATGTCTCTGTTGACTTTCAGCTTTTCTTTGAAGGACTGTTTTTAATGCACAATCAGCAGCCAAAAGGAGACTAAGTCCCTGCAGGGCTGAGAAAAAAAAGCACTAGTTCCTCTCCTTGCAGCTCTGCAGGTAGTTTGGGCACCAGAATGCAATGGAAAAACTCTCTGGCTTCTGATTTTTTCATGCTCTGACTCTTTTCAGTCTCCCACATTCCTGCCTCCATGCCAGGCTTCAGTAGGGAAACATCCTATTGATTGTGATGCAGGCAATTAAATGGTGTTAATGAAGTTCAAACAAGTGTTATCATAAGCTTGGCAGCATGGAGAGAAATAAAAGGTCAGCCACAGCCCTTTGTCATCTTTTCAGCGTGGTGTTGAATGCTAATGAGACAGTCCCAATTAGAACAGGCTCCCTTTTGTATTGCTTGGGGATTGCATCAAATGCTCCCAAGTTCTCCAGATTTTTAGGCTCAAAGGGGACATTTGAAGTAAACTTGAAAAGATGCAGATCTGAAGCTGCTCTAATGTAAATTCAGCAAAGCCTATGGAGTTTTTACTAAGAGAAGTCAGATGAGAATCTGGTCTGCTCGTTCCTTATTTCAATAGACCCGTATAATGACAATTGAAAAGCTTCCATCGTGTTTTAGAACTACAGTCTGACTCTTAATGCCTCCAACAAAAGCCAAATAGCCTGTCACCATTTCCTGGGTTAATTCTCCTGCTTCAGTCAGTCTTCATCTTCTGCCCCAGAAAACCCAAGCTGTGGTTGCACCTAGATACTTTTCAGCCAAGAGTTTTCCCAGTGAAGGAGCCCTGGGTGTGTAATTTGAATGCTGAACCTGGTTTCCACCAAAAGCCAGGATTTCTCAGCATAATGCTTCAGCAAGGAGAGTCCACCTCTGCTTCCAACAGCATTAAAAAGGACTGTTGAAGTCAAACTCTCAGCTGACCACCATGTAGAGGTAAAACATCGGCCAGGCCAGAATTTGCAGTTATTCCCTTCCCAATGGACATTCACAATCTAAAGAGGTGAAAAACTAATCTTTTATAGAATCATAGAATGGGTTGGAAAGGACACTAAAGATTCCAACTCCCTGCCATGGGCAGAGACACCTCCCACTAGACTGGGTTACTCAAAGCCATCCAGGCTGGTCTTGAACAATTCCAGGGAGGGGGCATCCTCAGCTTCTCTGGGTGACCTGTTCCAGTGCCTCGCTACTCTCACAATAAAGAATTTCTTCCTTATACCTAATCTAAATCTCCCCTCTTTCAATTTGAAAACATTACCCTTTGTCCTATCAGTACACTCCTTGATAAAGAGTCCCTCCCCAACTTTCCTTACGTACTGGAAGACTGCTGTAAGGCCTTCCCAGAAGCTTTGGAGGAAAGTACTTTCAGCCATGCCTGCTTTTTATGCCAAGCTCATTCCCTGTTTTGTGAGTCCTAAAGACACACTGCACACTGAGAAACCATCAGTTGCAAAGGGATGGCTTGGAGTAATCCAGCTCTGCTACGATTTTGACAGAACTGTTAAAAGTCAGGAGCCCATCTTTACTTCAGAGTGCCTTCAAGTTGGCTTACAACGTACCACTGCCTAATTGCCCTCTTGCAGTTTCTTCTTCATCAGAGAAGTTCATTTGATTTCAGGTTCTTCTGATTTATTCAACCTCTTCTTAAACTCCCCAACTGAAAATCTTTTTATCTTATGATTCGCTCTTTGAAGAAGTCTAGTGGCCTTGAAGGATGCCATCTCCAGCTGATGCTGACTACAGAAATAGCTCCAACCAGTACTAGAAGCCTTTGGATTTGGAATAGTTCCCTCAAAGTACAGGTGAGTACAGTACAGAATGGAGAAAAATATTCATTAATTCAGGGTAGAATTGAAATTATATTTTATTCATCCTTGATATTTTTTTTTCCTTTGATCTATCACAGCATCCAGGTGGCACTGCCTTGAGTCAGTGGAACTGACACACAAAAACACAAGCAGGGCAGAAGCTCTAACCATATTCCGAATCTCACAGCCTCCCCTTGGGCTTCAGTTCAAGTTGTCAGACATCAGTGCAGATAACAACTCAGTACATGCTGGGCACAGAAATCCAGTGCAGCAGGAGGTGTTATGTACCTCGTTTGCAACCCCAGTTGTTTGGGAAAACTTCCAGGGAAATGCAGCACCTATTGCTGAAGATTGCTGGGCAACAGGATTTAGCTCCAAAAAAAAGTTGTAAAATGAAATCAATACTGGAAAAACAAAATGGAAGCTGCAGCCTTCTGTTCATCCAGAACAAAAAAAAAAAGAAAAAAAGATGTTGCATAAGGAAATACCCTGTTCTCCACCTACACACCTCAGTTTGTTGCTCAAATGTGCCATCTCCAAAGATAAAAAAAACAACCAGGGTCATATGTTAAAGTATTTGTCTACAGAAACCATCCACCTACTACATGTGAGGTGGCTAAAGCATCACTAGAATGTGACCCCTTCGGGTCACTGCTGGTGCAAACAGGATTTCTAAATGAATCTCAGACACCTCTTTGCCCCTATCCAAGTTGACCCAGCAATCAGTCTCAATACATACAAAGAAACTTGGACACGTTGCCAGAAGTAGGTCATAATTAAGCAAGGTAGCTTGTAAGAGCCTTACAGGTTGCCTAGAAACAACATTTGCAGAAGTGTTTAACCACATCTAAAAATAATTGTCCAGACGAATCAGAGACCAATTGGAGCGTTATTGTAAAAAAGTCTCACCTCTTGCCTACTAGGGAAGAAATCTCTTTAATCAGCTGTACTTTCCTTCCACAAAATGAGTTAAAACCATCCCTAACAAAGAAAATACAGTGATTTATGGCACAGCGTGCCTCCAGTAGCAGAGGTTTCATATCACCTGTGTGACATGATATCAGTTTTAGACAGTGCCTATGAAGTCATCCAGACATTGCTTAAAACTGGATGGCATTGCACAGGAATGATCCGTAAGATAAACCCATCTTCGTATTTACAGAGTAGCAATCGTTCTCCATCTGTGCAGTTCCCAAACTTGTCAATAACGCCAAGCAAGCGTAGCATATTGGAAAACAAAGCGCAGATTGACTTCTGCAAGGCTTCCTCCAGCAGGCTTTTTTTTGAGTGCAAGATGTGCTATTTGCTGGTCCGGCAGAAAATCTTAGGTAACTTGAAGCCCCTACATACTGTAAGAATAGTTGTCTTGGTTGTATTCCCTTTAGTGAAGCCTTGCCAGAGAGTGATCTTCAGTAGATTGAACAGGACAGCTACAGATCTTGCAGAGGTGGACAAAATGTCTGGAAAGACCTCTGGCCTTTCAGAAAATACCTGCAGACCTTCAGTCACCAGCCTGTCAATCTTAGAGCATCTCATTCAAAGCATGAAGAGCCTCCAAGAAAAGCTACTGGACTTGGAATAAAGGGTGGTAATTGGACAGGATCTAGGCAGCAAGAGGACCGTCAGAACGATGCTGTAAACAGTAAACCACCTCTGGTATGCATGGAAAGACTTAGAAGCTCACAAACTTCACAGGACTCAGACACATCACCTCCCCTTCCTTCCTCCCTCTGTCACTTCTCAACAGTTTCTCCTCAAGAGAAACAATGATGGCAAACACCTTAATTTCACACCTCTAATTAAATTTCCATCTCTGCTACACAGTACGCAGGAATGAAAAGCTAACATGGAGCTTTCTACTTAGGCAATAACCAAAGAAAAAAAGCCCAGAGGGAGCTACCAAAAGCATTACTGATGATGTCTCCTAGCTCCATCCATGAAGCAGGGTCTCATTGTACCACTTGCCCGTGTCATTCCTGTCTCTACCACTAAAACTCACCTTTCCACCCAGTTCTTGTAGCTGGGGATGTCCTTGGCGTAGAGAAGCTTGTTGGAGGGTGAATCTTTGCCCAGCCGGTGCTCTGAGGTCGAACAGGAGTCCATGAAAGTCTGAGCCACTACAGAGAGGCAGGCATCCGTGATGCTGTTCTTGTGGATGTCGAAGACAAACTGTGGGTTCTTGATCATGTTAACCCAGAACCGTAACGGCAGGCTGCAAGAGGGGTGGGAGAGGTGGAGGAGGTGAGTCGGTCGGTGTACAGATCACAGACTTTGCTGTTTGAGGTTACGGTGGTAAATGGTGGATGGGAATCAAAATTCCAGATCTAGGACTGTTAATGGCATGAAGAGTGTGCTGTGGACACCGTGTACGGTCACGCTCAAAGATCAAGCCCAAGATCCATGTGTGATCCCAGCACACCGGGCATGAAGCAGTCATTACATGACAGGGAAACCCCTGTTGCCTCAAGGAAAAAAAGCAACTGGGAAACAAGTGTTGCAGCCTTTGAAGTGAAAATGTATCTGCCCTAACCAAGGAAATGTATTCCAATTGCAATCCAAAGCCTTTTTCTTCCCCCTTTCTCTCAAAAGAGCAGTTCATTTCTGTGAGGTGCCCTGAGGTATCTACCTCCAGCCTTTGCCTCAAGTCTTTTTGTCAGGGCAAATGCATTCATGTGCTCCTGGCCTAGGAGCTGAGATGTGTCACTGATCACAGAGTTAAACACTAGTCTCCCTCTCAGGTAGGCTATTAAGTCTATCCTCAATGTCTGCACCTTCCCAAGAGGAGGTAGCTTAACAAATTCACCTAATGCTCAAGTGATCATTACCCCCATGTGTTCACAGCACCACAAAAAATATTAATCTCTGAGTCTGATACATTTTGCCTAACAGCAGGCAGTTCAGCATGTCCTGACAGAGGGATAACACTGCATTTTTCTAACCCACGGTGCAGTCTTCTGAGCCAGCAAAATCAAAGAGCAAGTGTAAGGAAAGCCCCACACAGGTAATCCTCTCAGCCAAGCTCAGAAGTGGGAGATGCTGACAATGAGACCTGATGGAGCTGGTGGGAAGGAAACACTCTAGCTGGGGGTGAGGTTGATCTGTTGGGGGACAAGCTGGAGAACTTTTTCTGCAGATGTTTGGATGACAAAAACAACCGCAGAGAGGACGAGCAGAGAGTGCGTGTATGCGTGTGCGTACAGATACCGGGAGGGGCTGGGGGGACAATGTCCGGGAATAATAGAGCCCATGATGTGATTTTGAGTTAATTTAATCTGATTGAACAGATTTCTTCACACTGCCCCTCTCCCCACATACACACACACTCTGCCTTCTCCCCTCCCCCCTTAAATAAACCTCCTGCTCATTTAGTCTGAGTGGCTGCAATCAGCCTTAGATTAGTGCTGCAGATAATGTTAATAATATGCTAATGTTTCATTAGTTGAAAGCCTCTTTGGTGCATGGGGTTTCTTTTTTTATGTCACCGCGCTGTGACGATCTGCCATCAGCGTGGCTGGTAAAAGGAAAAAAATACATGAGCTGGGAGCCCCATGGCTCTCCTCTGCTGTTCCTTTTGTAGTCCCTGTATTTGCACAGGAGAAGGGGAGGGAGCAATTCCCCAGGGGACTTTTTCCAACAGGGAGACTTAGTGGAGAGAAGCCCCAGAGATCTTTTCTCTTCACCAATCCTAGCTTTTCCCTCGTTATCCTGTTACATGTACAAAGAGGGGCTGCTGCGTGGCGGGTAGAGCAGGGGGTTGATTTCAGACTTTGTCACTTGCTCTGAAGGACATCCACACCCAACTCCAGACCCTTCAGTTGCTTAGTACCATTTGGGATGCTCTCCTGGCCTCTAGCTGCCAGCCCAGGAGGGTACGAGTGTCCTGTGGGTGCTTCACATCCCCTGTGGGTGCCTGGGATACCTTAAAATATCCCAGATGGCACCTCATACCTATGCATGGGCAATCAAAAGGAGTTCTTGCCCCCCTCTGACTATAGTGGAGATTCAAACACTTAGTCTAGATGAAGACAGTGGTGCTGAACCCTCTCCCATGCCTCTCTAGATGTTCCTATGGGTCTGGACACTGAATCAGTTGAACACTTCACCATTTCTCCTCATGAGGTGCCTCAGAAATACTGCCGTCTCCACATAATACAGGGTAAAATGGGATCTGTTTAGTCAAAGTGCTCCATCCTTTAAATTTTGGGATTTTCTGACTTCCCCATCAACTTGGGAACACTGAACCTGGTGGTCTGAATCCCACAACAGCCTCCTCAGCTCCCCCAGCATCCAGATCCCAAACCACATGTCCCTCTGCTCTCCTGACAGTCCAAGACCTGGTGCTGGACTGTACTGGGGTGTCTCACTCACCAATTGCTCTTCCAAGTGTGCCGCACATGAGGGTCATGGATGTTGTGCTTGTCAGCCTGCTCATCCAGGAAGTCGAACATGTATTTGATAGCCAGGGGAAGCGCACTGCCACGGTGAGCAGTGCTGAAGATGGTCTCAAAGAGGTCATCTACAAATTTCTGGAGGGTGCCCTGTTGGCAGAAGGAAGGAAAGAAGAAGGTGAGATATCAAGCAGGAAGAGGACGTTGAAAACAGAATACGTATGTAGATCAGGCTCAGAAAGTGTGATTGTAAGGTGTTAGCCACCTAATATCTACTAAATGCATTGAAAATTTCAATACAGATGTCTTTCAGCAGGTACATGCATCTTCACATTATCCGCTACTTTTAGTTTGCAGCCAGACATGCCAGGTCAAGATTCTGCCTGTCCTCCCTGCTACTAGCACTCCCTGCCAGGGAGGGTGGCTGAGCCGCAGTGGGATACCTTGCCCCATCTCAGGCATATGGTGATGGAGAGGCCCTGATCAGTATCTGTGGAGATTTCCCTTCTCTGCATCTTAACATCAACTGCTTTATCAGCCTTGTCTGTGACAAGCTGTGTGATGACACACCAGGGTTAGAGGGACAGGGTGCTACTAAGGGTTTTCAGCTGGTCACTCTGAGGTGAGCTGGGGACATGGCAGCACAGTTAAAGAGATGAACCAGGGGCTCCTGAGGTAGGAGGAGACAACAGCGAAACATCCATAGAACACCTCAAGAGAATTAAGGGGTGTTGCACCAAGAAGGTGACATGGCTGGCAGCCCAGCTGAAGTGCCTCTACACAAACGTGTGCAGCACGGGCAACAAACAGGGGCAGTGAGAAATCTATGTGTGGTCAAGGGGTTATGATCTGGTGGCAATTACAGAGACATGGTGGGACAGCTCACATGGCTGGAGTGTGGTCATGGATGGCTCTGTCCTTCTTAGGAAAGACAGGCCAACAAGGTGGAGTTGCTCTTTACGTGAGAGAGCAACTGGAATGTATTGAGATCTATCCAGGGGCGGATGAGGAGCAAGTCGATAGTTTGTGGGTGAGAATGAAGGGGAAGTCGAGCATGGGTGATACTGTGGTGGGTGTCTATTGCAGGCCAACTGATCAGGATGAGGAAGTTGATGGGTCCTTCTACAGGCAGCTGACAGCAGCCTCTCAATCATGGGCCCTGGTTCTCATGGGGGTTTTTAACTACCCAGATATTTGCTGGAAGGCCTACACAGCCAGCCATCCTCAGTCCAGGAGGTTCCTCCAGTGCATTGATGAGAACTTCTTGATGCAAATAGTGGACGAGCCAACTAGAAGAGGAGCGCTGCTGGACCTTGTGCTCACCAACAGGGAAGGTCTTGTTGAAGCAGTGAAGGCTGAGGGCAATCTTGGCTGCAGCGACCATGACATGATGGAGTTCAGGATCTTGTGCCGTCCAGAAGACCAAGCAGGATTGCAATCCTGGACTTCAGTAGGGCCAACTTTGGCCATTTCAAGGAATTGCTAGGGGAAATCCCAAGGGAGAGAGTACTAGAATGTAAAGGGGCCCAACTTAGTTGGTTAATATTCAAGGACTACTTCTTCCAAGCTCAAGATCAGTGCATCCCAGCAGGTAGGAAATCAAGAAAGAGAGCCAGGAGACCTGCATCATTAACCAGGGAATGACTGGGCAAACTCCATCGGAAGAAGAGAGTCTATAGATCATGGAAGGAGGAGCTGGCCACTTGGGTGGAATATAAGACTGTGATCAGAAGATGTAGGGAAGCAACTAGGAAAGCTAAGGCCTCCTTATAATTAAACCTAGCAAGGGAGGTCAAGGACAACAGAAAGGGCTTCTTCAAATATAATGCTGACAAAACTAACACTAGAGGCAATGGAGGGCCCACTGGTGAATGAGGTGGGTGCCATGGTGACAGATGATACAGAGAAGGCAGAGTTACTGAATGCCTTCTTTGACTCTGTATACACTGTTGGAGACTGTCCTCAGGACCACCAGACACCTGAGGTCCCAGAGGAAGTCATGATAAAGAGAAGTTTGCCTTGGTCCTCAACAGAGGACTAGGTTAGGGATCAGTTAGGCAATATAAACATCCATAAATCAATGGGCCCTGATGGGATGCACCCATAGGTGCTGAGAGAGCTGGCAGAAATCATTGCTAGGTCACTCTCCATCATCTTTGATAAATCATAGGGAACAGGAGAGGTGCCTGAGGACTGGAGGAAAGCAAATGCCAGTCCAGTCTTCAAAAAGGGCAAGTAGGGGGACTTGGGTAACTAGAGACCAGTCAGCCTCACATCCATCCCTGGAAAGGTGATGGAACATCTTGTCCCTGGTGCTGTCTCTAGGCATATCAAGCATAAGAAGGTTATTAGGAGCAGTCAGCATGGTTTTGCCAAGAGGAAGTCATGTTTGACCAACCTGATAGCCTTTTATGAGGACGTAACCAGGTGGATAGATGATGGCAGTGCACTGGATGTGATTTATCTGGATTTCAGTAAAGTATTTGACACCATCTCCCCCAGCATCCTCATAGCTAAACTGAGGAACTGTGGTCTGTGTGATTGGGTAGTGAGGTGGATTATGAACTGGTTGGAGGGAAGAAGTCAGAGAGTCGTGGTCAATGGAGCAGAGTCTAGTTGGAGACCTGTGTCTAGTGGGGTCCCTCAGGGGCCAATGCTGGGGCCAGTGCTGTCCAATATATTCATCAATGACATGGATGTGGGATTAGAGAGCGCTGTCAGCAAGTTTGCTGATGACACAAAACTGGGAGGAGTGACTGGAACCCCAGCAGGCTGTGCTGGCATTCAGAGAGACCTGGACAGGCTGGAGGGCTGGGCAGGGAGAAATTTTACGAAATACAAGAAGGGCAAATATAGGGTCTTGCATCTGGGAAAGAACAATGCCATCTTCTAGTATAGGTTGGGGACTGACCTGCTGGAGGGCAGAACAGGGGAAAGGGACCTGGGGGTCCTGGTGGACAGCAGGACGACCATGAGCCAGCAATGGGCCCAAGAAGGCCAATGGCATCCTGGGGCGGTTTAGAAGGGGAGTAGCGAGTAGACTGAGAGAGGTTCTCCTGCCCCTCTGCTCTAGCCTGGTGAGGCCACATCTGGAATCTTGTGTCCAGTTCTGGGCCCCTCAGCTCAAGGGAGACAGGGAACTGCTGGAGAGAGTCCAGCGCAGCCATAGGGATGATGGAGGGATGGAACATCTCCCTGGTGAGGAAAGGCTGAAGGAGCTGGGTCTCTTTAGCTTGGAGAAGAGAAGGCTGAGGAGTGACATTGTTAATGTTTATAAATATGTGAAGGGGGAGTGCCAGGAGGATGGAGACAGGCTCTTCTCAGTGATGTCTAATGACAGGACAAGGGGCAACAGGTGCAAGCTGGAACATAGGAGGTTCCACAAAAACATTAGGAAAAACTTTTTCATTGTGGGGGTGATGAAGCCCTGGCACAGGCTGCCCAGAGACGGTGTGGAGTCTCCTCTGGAGACATTCAAAATCTGCCTGGACACGTTCCTGTGTGACCTATCTGTATGATCCTGTTTTGGCAGGGGGGTTGGACTAGATAATCTTTCAAGGTCCGTTCCAACTCCAAACATTCTGTAATTCTGTGTGCTTCAGTGCATGCATGAGACAAAAATTAGTCATTTTCTATGCTGGCTTTCATCCAGGGCCAATCCTTAAGCTGGAAGTCACAAGGCTTCATTGAGACAAATGGGTCAGGAGAACCCGGAGAGAGCTGGCTAGTTTATATGTGTGAGTAGTACAATAAATAACATAAACTTCACTTTAATCCCCAAGAGGGCTCTTCCTTTTTTACTACCCACTGGCTTGGAACTGAGGCAAACCCTAGACACAATGCATGGATGTGTCAGGCACTGCTGGGCAGACCTGAGTAATGTCTGCTGCAGAGACTGCAGAGCTCTCCTTATGCTCTGCATGAAGGAGAAGCCCAAATCCTGTGCCTGGAGAACCACCCTGGACAAGCTGGTCAGGATAGTTGACCTTTAGCAAGTCATGAAGAGCTGGACTATCAGAAGGTGGCCAACTTTGGAGAAGGGGGCAGCTGAAGAGCTCTGACAACCAGATGAACTGCAGGCTGGGTTTGGGGAGGAACCAGGCAAGGTGTGCTTTCCCTGTTGAGTGGGGAGCTCTAGGTCCATTGTGAACCTCCACTCTGCCAGCAGAGCTTCATAAGTCATTTATATGTGAACAAAACATATGGCTGCTAAAACAACTAAAACATAACCAAATCTCTAGCAAATATTTCCTGATATGCAAAATTTCCTCTTCCGAAAAATAAAACCTTTCTCTGCAGACCCAGGGAAGAAATCCTTCTTACTAGAAATGAAGCACCAGGTTCCACCAGAGTGGCTCAAGTTTCCATAACTCTAACAAATACTTAATTAGAAAGCTGGTATCTCTTGCCTATTCACCGCTTGATTTATTCTTTGAGAAAAAATCAGAGGTACTTTTTGCTTGTGTGAACTCCTGCAGGGTGAGTAAAGCCCTGCAGCACATGGTTGATTCAGAAAGGACCCCCCGGAGGGGAAATCTTGTTGATCTGACATGGAAGAGCTGCCCTCAGGTTCACTTTCTGGAGGGAATTAGTTCTACACATGCTCACCCACACAAACACAAAGAAAACCTCTGAGGATTTTAGGCAAGAGACTCTAGATCTCAAAGGTCAGGGATTTACCAGAATAAAAATCATGGTCACTTTTAACTAAGCATTCCCTAGGATTGTATTACCAGCAATTGCTCTGTCTTC